GTGGGGTCGTCTCCCTAACCTTAGACCCAGAGCCGTTATATTGGGAGAGTTTGGCCAATGGGGTGTGGCGACGAAGGCGCCGGAGAGGAGAAAAGTAAATGAAAGGGAGGAGAGTGCCGAAGGAGCGAGACAGAAAGAAAGGAGCAGAGAGGAGACGACTGCCATTTTTTCGCAACGCTGTCGGAGACTGGTCGGAGAAGAGCACTGCTGAGGCTACGCGTCGTCTGCTACGTGCCGACTTCTTTTTCTCCTGAATAAACGTTTGTGGCCATACGTCGAGAAAACTTCATTTATTAGCTTTTTAACCCACCGAGGAATAACAGTATATCCTTCGCTTGCCAGAGCCAGCGATATAAAAGGAAATAATCGAGATTTAGGTGCCGATCACATGCATTCCGCCGGGAGAATGAACGAAAATGGCGGCCCTCCCCACTCAGCTGCGAGCAGCCGGGAGTTCACGCGCATGCGCTCATGCCTCTCGCTCTGCGCAGCGTGCTGATTGGCTCGCTTGGGAGGAGAGCGTTACGGCGGCGAGATCATAGACTGACCAAGCTCTCCCCATATACGGCTCTGCTTGTACCATGCCACCGGTCCTGTCGCGGACGCCAGTTTGTCACGGAGTGTGGGTCAAGTTAATAAAAATAAATTAATGATCCACTCTGAGGATAAACGAAAAATTACGGATAAACGAGAGAAAGAACAAAAGAGCTAAGTTCGACCGGTGACTAGCGCTAGGTCTACGCCTGGTGTATAATCAGTAGAGAAAGAGAATGGCACAGGGAGGATAAGCAAACAGAAGATTAGATTTAATAAAGTGAAAAACTAAGCCGCGCACGGCAATACAGTCAAACCCGTGTATAACGCACAGCATGAAACGCTCCAATCAGTTCGATATAGCAAAAACCATTTACAACGAACTTCCACGATGCGTTCGTTGTAAGGTGAGAGTTTCTTTTTCTCTCTCATCTGTTCTCTTCCACCTTGTAACAAAGTGATGAAACGTTGTTTTTTTTTTGTTTTTTTTTAAATTTTTTGCATGCTTGCAGAGTTTTTTTTGTTTTTTTTAGCTTATCTCCCCTACCGAATCACTTCTCTTTATAGACTTTGGGATGAGCTTTTTTTTTTTTTTGCTTTTTCTTTGAGTATGTGCAGTTTTTTCTTTTTAGTTTTCTCCCCTCTTAATCGCTTCTCTTTGTCAACTTCGTTCGCGGCTTCAGCTTTAAACAATTTGCTTTCTTTCCTAGATTTTTTTGTGGATCGGAAGGGACAGGCTAGAAGGCGATTGTTTGCACGTTTTTGGAAGCCATCCCGGATGAAAAAAGTTCGATATAGCCAATATGTTGTTCGTTATAAAAATTACTTTCTACATGCATTTTTATTTATATTTTCCGTGAGTTTGATATCGACAATAATTCGCTGTACCTGTGTTCATTCTAAACGGGTTTCACTGTAGAGCACTCAACACAAACCACACTCCAGCTCAACGCTATGGAGCCCTGCGAGCGAGAAACTAATACTAAAAAGACTCAACCCTCATAAAACAGGAACAAGCCAACAAAACAGTGACGAAAACCCGACACTAAATAACAACGAGAGCAAACCGAGATGAAACTCGAACGTTACCGCTACACACATGGGATAATCCCCCAAAACAGTCGCGACAGAAAGTAGCACTGTGTAAACATCTTCCCAACATTCAACAATTCATACTTCAGGGCCAGAGAATGAAGTAGACAAGTTCTAGAAAACCAGGCTTAGGTTTCCGGTAGGTGCTGAGTCCAGAGCAGTCCGTAGTCTGGAGTTGTCAGCCGAAGAACTTCGTCTCGGAGTCCGGCGGTTCGGTTAGAAGCTTGATGAGGTCGACACCGCGCACCACACAGCCAGACACGCTTCAGCACAACAAACTCAAACACTTGCCCGACAGGCAGGGCAGAAGCCAAAAATTACACGTTCCACGACTCATCTGCAGGGAGTAACCGCGTTGAGCAGCGACACCGCCAGCTCTGGGGTTGGACTACCTTCTTTGTTCCCGAACCCTCTTTTATAGGCTCGTCTACTGACCAAGCTCCCGTTCCCCCGCCTTTCGGGTCAGTCAACTTTCAAGAAAAACAAAGCTACACAGCAACGACCCAAATGGCAAAACCTATTACATTTTTCAGACAACCAAACATATGTGCCCATCCATTCCCCCGTACGAGTCCAAAAACGTCAATTATCGCCGATACATAGAACACGACAGGCGGCAGACTGAGCAAAGCCGCCGCCTTCAAAAAGCGCGCTAGCCAGCGTAAACATCTTTGTATCCCAGCGCCGCCCCCGCATGTCAAATCGGCACCATACACGAGCCAGCATACGCACCCCTCCGTCCGCGAGGTCAAAGCCACAAACTGTGACCTGGGATGATCTACGTCGCCCGTTAACAAAAACCCATTCCTCAAACGAGCAAATTCGCTAGGGACTTAGAAAGGAACTACGACGGGACGAACTGAGATTAAAAGTGGAACCACACTCCCCCTTTTTGATCGTACCGACACTTAAAGTGGTCCAAAAAAAAGATCCTAAAAGTATTTAAAAAAAATAAAGAGAAGCCTGAATTTGTGACACTCGGTTTCTCCATCCTGGGTTTTTTTTTTGTGTGCTTTTTCTATTACGAAGCAAGACATTATTCCATCCGTAGGCACCAGATGTAATTCCCGTCTGCGATCATAAGATTATAGGATCTTAACATTCGGCAGCTAAGTGTCAATTACATCCGGCTTGTGCATACAGTGCAACATCTTGTGCTATTCAACCGATCATCCCTTTACAGCCTGGGTACCTGTTCTTGTAAACGACAGTAGTGCTACATGTTAAACGGCTCTAAAGCGATAGAGCAAACTCACATCTCATTATCTCTTAGCTGAATAAACTGTTTGTTTGGTTATGCTTGTTATCCAATCTGTGTTTTAAATTTATTTTTCTCATATAAACACCTTACATTATAGAAAAAAAAATTTATAGTACGGAGGTGACATGGTTGTATCATCTTTGAAACTAGTTTACCACAGCCAGTGTTATAATATGTATTGATTTTTTATGCAGTGCCTGCCTTTCCTTGCCCCTTGTGAGGACGACTGAGAAAGTGACTTTGCGCCACAACGACGGATGGCAAGTATCCCAAGTGTCGTCACCTATAGTGGTCATGTGCTACGTGTTCGCAGCATTGTAGGCCGACCACGGAGCACTTTCAAAAGGGAACTTTCGCCGTGTGCACAGTATGACCGTGTACAATATGGGGCACGTACAGTCAGAAGAATTATGAGAGGGAACATGCGGGCGCGTGTCACTTGGTACAGGCAGAGCAGCCTTGCAAGTGTCATGCTTGTGCACTGAGGGGCCCTGGTTTGAAGAGGCGAGACAGAAGTTTCAGCGGCGGTGTCACCGCCCTGGCGGCTTGTCGCCGAACCAGAAACGGGGTTAGCTAGCTTTGCTCGTGGCTGGCTTTGTGTAGTGTGTGTAGACCGGGAACATAGGCTTATGAACTTCAACAACAAGAATACTACGCGGCTTTGGTGTTTTGGTACGAGCAACAAACGTGACACTATCTGCTACGACTAGCTACGACCACCCACCGCAGCGGTGAAGCCATCGAAGAAGCAGAACCTGTGTATTACGCCGTTGCCGTAACCCAACAGTGCTCATTTGTCATGGAGGGCTTTCCGCCTAGAGACTTTGCTCGTCAAAGAGTGTTATTTCCCGTGTTTCTCTTTGTGTGCTCAGTGGCTGTACGGGCCTCATACAGCAGTTCTTCAGGCTCAAAGGTGACTAAAAGTTGAGGGTGGATGGACTTGCAGCAATCCCCTCGGTTGGTGCGTGTGACAGAACCTTTGTACGGCATCATCGGGAGGACACTGTTGTAAGTTAGCAAGTTGTCCAATTGTATGTTCAATATGCTAATATTTGAAAAATCTTGTTTAAAAGGATGCTGGACCAAAATTTGGATTCCATAAAATAAGGCCACGGAAGCTTTGAATGGGAGCTCTACAAACTCCGAAACATCACTCATACATTAATATCTCAAACGGATGGCCGTATTCTTGGAAAGGAAAGGACGCAATCAAACAAGAAATGTGACATCATACTTCTCCTGGTACACTTCAGAATGAGGGGAAGCGGCCTCGCTTCCCTTATTCCCGCTTCGGTTCACCTGCTTAAGGGGATGAAGCCTAGAGGAGAAAGAATGAGAATCGCGACATCACATGTCTCGTCGGCCTTGTTGAATCCCACATGTTTCCAAAAATATGGCCATCCGTTAGAAATAATGCTCTATGTGTGATGTTTTGGGGGTTTTGCAGCGTCCCGCCTACCACCCCAGTGTTGTTTTGCAAGCTTCGAATTTCGGTTAAGCATACCTTTTAATATGAATAATTGTGTCATCAGAATGTTAGAACATGTCAGTTCTATACACAGCTACTCTCAAACATTTTCGAGTGGTCTCGCCTGCCAGATTTAAAGGGGGGTCAACATGTACATGTTTTTATGTCTACAGCACAAATAGTTCCTATCATGCACTGTAAATAGCTGTCAATTGACAGACTCGGTAAGCGTGAGCACAAACAAGTCCAACTACCAACAATGCCGTCCATGGCGAATCTTGGACACCATGTCTTACATTATGTGGCCTCAGCGGTCTTTGTATAGTTCTTTTCATTGTTTCCAGTAGAGCAGCTACCAATAAGGGGGGTTGCAAGGACGTCAACTTTGAAATGCAGTTTCTTCACATAATGTTTGCATTTTGGGAAGTTTCTACACATATACCTTGAAGTCGCTATTGTACGGATGAAACAACTTTGTAAAAGTGTCTATGAAAACTTTGGCAGGGTCCTCTTTAACGTGCCTGACTTACAACAAGGCTGTCCAACTTGAGAAATTTCACTGGTGGGAAGCTTATTTTCATATAAGAATGGTGTACCTTTTCACAGCGCTGTATGTATGCAACAGAAACTCCAGGGCCCGTTTGCTCGAAGCTGGTTAACTCTAACCGCGGTTAAAAGTTAACCGCGTTTCCCTACCTAGGTACATCCGAGTACCTAGCCGCGTTCGACAAAAACTCAACGCACAATTTCTCCGTGTTTTATTATTATGCGGTAGCTCCCGCCACCTTCCGGTCGAAGCAAACAATAGCCTTTTAAGAAACGTTTTTGCTAGTTTTGTCTTTATTAAGAAAAATAAAAACAACATCGTATCACAATGTTTCTTTTTATGCATGAAAATATATATGTACTTTAAAAAAATAATAAATATCTTGATGCATCTATTGTGCCGCCAAACACAGCATAAGTTTGCAGCGTTGATTTCGGGTCTGGCAACGGTCTTTATAGATTCGTTGTTTTTGGTTGTTTTGTTCTCCGTGTTTTGCGACGCACGTTTCCCGCGCTTTAGTTATCACCTGATTTTCACTGTTTGTCTTCTCCTGCCGTTTGCCCAACCGACCCTCCGACTCGCTCGCCGACTGACTACCGGACTGACTGACAACTGATTTGCGGACGGATTGGTGAAGATAAGGGACGCAATGTCGACTGTGGCGCGACGCCGACATCGAAGAGAGCGCGTGTTCGCCCAGTACGCTGTTGTGATGATGGGACGGCAGCGTGTGTTCCGTGACCGCTTGAACCCTTTGGAGGAGTTCGATGAGGACGAACTGCAGGAGCGCTTTCGATTCGGTCGCGCGGGCATTGTGTTCCTCGCCGACACACTGCGCCCGGACTTGGAGCGGCCGACGCGTCGCAGCCGCGCCCTCTCTGCAGAGCAGCAGGTCATTGTCGCCTTACAGTTCTACGCCACGGGGAACTTCCTCATCACCGCAGGGGACTACATCCGTGTGCACGTCTCCACTGCTTCGCGGACTGTGAGGCGGGTGACTCAGGCCTTGGCACGTCGTGCCCAAGACTTCATAGGGTAAGTGGTCTGGAGCATCTCTGGTGCGTCCCGATATTAGGCGCATGTGCAGGCCAGTTTTCCGAGAAAAAAAGCCTGGGCCTAGATTGCTCGATGAGCAATCACCATTATTTCAGAAACCCTTTGTATAGAAATTTCGGTGCGTGAATTGTGTTCGCTGAAACCCCCGAATTCGTTAAAGGTGGTCTTCTCCGCACACCTATTCTGCAATTTATTTACGGCGCACCACCTGCGCAATGACCCTTTCGTTTTTGTTTCCTAAGCTGCAGGCTTGCTAGCCTGAATATCTGCCAGCGCATCGATCCCCACGTATACTGGTACCTCCCTAAAGGATCATTAGAAGTGTTGCTTCAGCACTCGATATTTGTTTTTTGGTAATGAGCGTGACATGCAGACCAGTGAACTGGGCAGTAAAATTACACGAACCAACTGGAGTGTACAAAATGACTCCCTTAGTACCTATTATTGGTGCAGGTGCAAATTCAACTAATCTACAAATAAAGTAGGAGTGCAGACATTTACAAACAGCCTGGTTTCTGCACTCCCAACTATGCACTTGTTGCTACTGAGCTAGTCTTGCGGCTACTGAGTACTGTCATTGTGCAGACGAGGCTTTTATTGCTCACTATTGATGACGATGAATGATAGCTGTGTTATTTTGAAGCATGTGATCATAACAACAAAACTGTCACTGTTAATGTCATAGTGCTACAGACTCACTCAAATCCATCTACAATGCAGGTGGCCAGGTGAAGCTGAGGGTCATGCCTTACAACAGGCCTTCTTTGAGATCGGTGGGTTTCCTTCGGTCGTGGGTGCTGTTGATGGCACTCACATTCGGATACAGGCACCACAAGTGCATGAGGAGGTGTACGTTAACCGCCATCTGTACCATTCAATAAATGTACAGTTAGTGGTTGACGTCTTTTACCGTATCCGCAATGTGGTTGCAAAATGGCCTGGAAGCACCCACGACTCTAGGATATTCACCGAGGGCTCGTTGTCAGGCAAGCTGGCCAATGGCGTTTACGAGGGCCTACTGCTTGGAGACAGCGGCTACACCTGCAAGCCATGGCTGATGACGCCCTTCCTGTCTCCGTCATCAGCAGCGGAGGTCGCCTACAATGCGTCACATAGCACAACGAGGAGCATCGTGGAACGGTAAAGCCAGGCTATGCGTCCTGGTTCGACGGTTCAGTGTTTCGGTACCTTGAGGCACCTAACCTTTTTTATGTGGTTGTGCCTGAGCTTTACATTTGTTGCCATTTTTATGTTCTTGCATAGTAGGCTACGGCTGCTCAGAAGCAAGGAGAGGAAGGCGTATCTCTACTATACCTTATTTATACTACGGGCTATAACCTACTGCCATAGCCTGAAATGTTTATTCTAAGGTTAGCCAGCATTGTGGGAATGAAGAACATCAATTCACAAAATTCAACCATTAGCCAGTTAACTCTATATGTCACAATAATTGTTATATTTCATTTGCTCTTTTCTGTATAAACTCCAGAATAGAAGTTAGAACTTCTCTGAAACATATCCTTCCTGTATGACTGGGTTTATTAACCTACAGGTTTTTACTAGCTGTTTACACATTTCAAACAATAGCAGTTAATTTTTTTTGTTACTCTATATTGCCTAAATGTAAAGCAATTCTTAGAAAAAAAAAACAGCTTGCAATGTGAAAAAAAAAACACTGGCTTAGGCAGGTTTTGTTTTTAGACAGTTTGTGTACAGACTTATTCAAGCATATCTTATTAAATACTGCTTATCTCAAACTGCAATTTTCCTTGCAAGTTTTTGCGAAGAACATTTTCATTATATCTGTGATGGGATTGCTGCGCCATTTGCGCCAAAGTGATTACCCTGCTACGTCCTGCTACATTTAACAAAAATGTGAGAAATTTGCACCAACGTAGCACCAAAACTTATTTTCATTTTAATAATACTGAAAATATAATAGCTCGGGCTTCGCCGCCCGGCCGGACCGTCACGATATGCTTACGCAAGTTTTCAGGTTTTCAAAACTTTTGATTATAGTCTCGTATACGATACCATTCCATCACATTTCGTATGAATGACAGGCAATATCTGGAAGTTTCGCAATAATTTTTATGTTAGTCGTCTGTTCATTCTGGAGGGTTAGCTATAGTCCGTTGCAACCTAAGAACGAAGGGCGAGGGTAAGACAGGCCGGGGAGGAGGAAGCAGACGGAACGCTAGAGAAGAGAGGGGGAAACCTCCTTCTCTCTTTAGCGTTCCGCCTGCTTCCTCCTCCCCAACCCGTCTTACCCTCGCCCTTCGTTCTTAGGTTGCAACGGACTATAGTGTCGTTGAATGCGCTTTTCACCACGCACCGGTGTACTGCAAAGAAGCAAACACCACGGAGTAGGCATCGCAACTTTGTATGTCTTGCTTCTCTGCAGCGGACCCTGTGTTAAGGAGAAAGCTCTCCTCCAAAGTGAGACTCAACACAATTCCTGAACACAACTTCGGCTCGTAAATATGATGGATTACAAGATCCCGGCGGCACCTTTTCCAATTTCGAGATTTAGTAAGGGTACTTTGGTATTGCAAGAGCATTTATATATGCTCTTATGCATGTTTATTTATTTATGCCAACTCATTTGTTTAGCTATCAATTTTCTGTAGGTGCGAGTAGATTAGAACTAAATTGACAGGAGCAGTGGATGAAATCTCAGGAAGAGCCTGAATGAGTTCGGCGGGTTTGTTTTTAAGTTTCGTTCACATGCCGTTTTTGCTCTGAAGTTCTACAGATAAAATGTAATTTATGTTGATAATCAAATGATAATTGCTTTGTTTTTTTATCTCATTTATAAATTGCAGTTTTATTACAACCTCTAGAACTTGAAGGAAACATCAGTTTATGTGACCAATGTTATTGTACTAATTTAGTGGCATTCAGTACCTAAAATAACCATTTAAAGGAGTTTGTGCTGTCCTTCATCACTCACCTTTTTGTTACCCTGTCATGGTGCTTCTCCACGCAACTGAACGCTATAGTTTTGTGTTTGAGGAACTCTTGCTGCGCAGTTGGTGCTAACAAAGGTTTGAACGTATGTGAGAAGGCAACGTAGACTTTGCCCTTTAGTTGGACAGGCCGAAAAATTAATCTTGAAGTGATGTTTGCATTGGTATCAATAAAAATGAATGTGCGCTTATGCTACAAAAGTTCTTTTTGTTGCACCATAATTGACTTTTGACTGCTCCAAGGGCTGCTCCAAAATGACTCAGACCAATCACATCACTGAAATCTTTACCAAAATCTGCATTTCATTACTATGTTAAAATATTCCAACAAAAATATTAACTATTAGGCATAATACCATGTTTTCGATGGGCTGGAGCGATGATAGACATCGCATGCCGATCTCATTAGATGTTCTTATAAACCACTTCAAAAGGATAACAGATCTTGCTCTATTTATACACTGTGCAGGACAATAGGCCAGCTCAAGCGGAGATTTCATTGCCTCCATGCTGAGTTGAGGATGCAGCCAGAGAGATGCTGCGACATCACTGTTGCCTGCTGTGTCCTGCACAACCTGGCCAAGACATACCCCTGCAGCATGCCAAGGACTGTCCTCCCCGAAGAGGTTCCCGTCGAGCCCGTGGCAGCGGGCCGTGATGAAAGCAACGAGGCTCGGGATGCCATCGTCGGTTGAGCGTAAGTATACCAATATATTGCACATGCTGCTTTGCATGGTCTTGAGTACCAGTGCATTCTGCTTGTTTTTAATTGATCAAACATTGGAATACCAAATGTTGTTTCTGCGTTAGGTTGGAAGAGAGTGGAATTTTCGCCCACGCCGTCCCCACATATTACGCTTGACTACTGCTGCCGATTACCCCGGCGCAGCGGGAACACGAATACCATAGGCTATGGTTCAGGGAGATACGAAGATAAATTAGGCAAATGATAAAATTAGCCAGACGATCTTCCGATGAGTACATGCAAGGCAGGCTTTTAGTCTTAGCGGCAACTGAGGCGCATACGAGGCTGACGGCGGTACGGACAGAGCACACGGAGATGGATCAGCAGTCAAGATTCCTTGAGCGTCGCAACTATTCGTGCTGTGACAAGGAACTAGAGCAAAAACCCTGCAAGCAGGCGGAGCCGCCGTTAGTTCTCGATAAGCAGATGAAAAACTTGTCTTCGCATGACACGTTTCGGCGCACCGATATGTTTGACGGAGCAAATATACCACATGGTTTCAAACAGGCTCGTGATTGGACCCGGCCGCGTGTAGCATCTGTCTCGTCCATCGTAGGACGAGACAGAGTATAGCAGATCTGAATCTAGAAATATACAGTTGCAAGTAAAATGGATTTTATTTATCAGCAGCTGTGTTGGCTTTGTCATATATATATATACATTCAAAATGAAAATTAAAAACAGCGTAATATGTCAATGTTTACTCTTCTCCTAATTGTTTTTTTAGAAATTTGATTTCCAATTCTGCACGCTGTGTTTCCAGTTGAATTAAATTTTTTTGGTCCTCTAGTAATTTTTTTGACTGCTGGTAGAACTCCTCGGCAGCAGTTGCTGCTGCAATTGTTGCCGTGGCAGCTTGCTTAACCATTTCTGTGCTCTCCTTCTCCAGCAGGAGATTAGCTCCCTCGAGCTGCTGCTGCCTTTCTGTCTCCTGCAAGAAGCGCTGTGAAGCCTCCCGGCACCAACGTCGGCTGTATGGCACATTTGTTGGAGCCCGCTGCACCGCCTCCAGCGGCCGACTCTCGTGCAGCACTGCCGCACTTGCTCCGCTCCCAGAGGGACCAGGCTGTGGATCTATTCCCCTGGAGCTGTCACTGCGACAAATTCATGTGTAAAAAGTGGTCAGGTTTTGTTCTTGTCAGCATGGGCAAAGAGAACACACTGTGCAAAGTTTGTAACCCTGATAAAGACACCGATGCTGCGCCAAAATTCATTCATACGGGTTGGTACAGAGGACAAAGTTTGTGAGCCAAGTTGGTTTATACACTGACGCACAGGCTTGAGGTCGGAGCGCAGTGTTGTTACTTCTTGCACAATTGCCCAGTACATGGTGTAGGAAAATGTGCATTTGGTTGTGAAGAGCACACAGCTGCATTCTAAAGGTTAGAATGCAGCTGTGTAGCTATGCGATTAACAGTTCATAAATTTAGTGGTCACATGTCCAGTCAAACCACAATGCACTGCGCATTTATAGGACAACTTCAAACATTACAGCACATAGCTTCACTGGTATTGATTTCACTCACACAGGTTACCATCATGGGGGTAGTTAACTTCTTGACCAGAATGAAGTTAATGTTTGAGCCAATTTTCCTAAGTTGGTAAAACAAGCAACAGGATGGTTGTACTGTGTGTGATCTTTTAATTTGCATATTGAAAGCGTGCTACAGTTAGCATTAAAGAAAAGCCATTGCCACTTTGTTGCATTTAATTTCTATAAGATGGTAATAAACAGCTTTACCACCTGATTTCTCATTGCATGCCGTGTTATTGCATAAATTTGTAGCTTCGGTGAAACTGTTTCAGCCTTGTTGAAAATAATTAGAAATGTGGTAGCGCTGGTGCCTCGTCAGATCTTAGAGTGCACTCTGGAAGACGGTTTCGTGACTTATATTTCGAACCACCTTTGAGCTTTTGTTGTTGAAATAGAACTGAAGCCAGATTCCCGGAACTTTCTTACGGCAAAAAAGTTAGTAGATTTATCTTATGACAAATTTACGAACTTTTAAGTATTCCCGAAGCACAAAGATCGTAAGTTTTGCGCAAGCTACGGATTTCGTCAGAACTTGCGCAAAACTTACAAACATTTTGCTTCGGGAATACTCAAAAGTTTGTAACTTTGTTGTAAGAAAGTTTCGGGCATCCGGCCTCTGGTCTTTATATAAAAGTACTCGGCAGTAATGCCATTCAAATGGCAACATGCCCATCTTCTTATCATCATTTGTCCTCGTCTTTTAGAACCTCGCCTGGAACGACAGTTCTGCATTACTGTGACCGGTTCCTTAAAACCATTTACTCTTCACACAATCGGGTCTAGAAACCAGTCACCTACTCTTCGGTGTCACCTATGGTGGCCTCCAACCCGCACAGGTTGGGCGAGTCCTCGCCGATCACTTCGAGGACGGCCTCGACGAGGGGCGTCAGGACGTGGGGGTTTGGCCCAGCACCTATGAATTAAGGCGTAGTAATTTCGTCTCGACTCTTACTTACTCGAGTTACGAGCAAAAACAGAGGAGGTGGGGTTCACTGTTCAACCAAGTATGTAAATGGAACTTTCATGGGAAAATTAAAATAAACAAATACTGCATGAGACATTCTTTTAAACATTCATTAACTGCTAGATAACACTGCTGAAACTGTGGACTGTGTAATCGTGCAATTTTTACTTTCTTACAGTTTGGCCTGTCGGCCTCTACCATTGTGCTCTCTTATAATCTGTTTTAATATTTTGTCCGAAGTTTTGGGTCTTCCACTGAACTGTTTTACAAGTTCCATACAGCCTGTGCAGAACTTGTACATAAACTGGAATAAATTGTTTTCTGATGCTGTAACACTGCTTTTGCTGCTGTTCAAGGAAGGTGAAAAGTCGACTCCCAGCAGAGGGCAAAGGTGAACGAATATACAAATGTCCACATTCACGTTTTTAGGTTTGGTTGCTCATGTATTATCACTAAAGCAATGCAATATCTTTTGAACTTAAGAACACAATGAACTTACCGGTGCGCTGTTCATGCTTCTTGAATAAGCTGTAGAGTTGTCTAGTCTTTTTTAGGAGGTTTCTCCAGCACTGTTGTAGCTGGTCTGGGGTGCGCAAACAGCCCATGGCTCTGTAAATTTCGTCCCATGCCTGCCTTTTTGTTTGGGTCGTGACCGTAGCACTGAACTTGCCCATAATTTGATGTTTCCTCTCCCCCACTGCCCGAATTAGTTCTAATTGTTCATCCAATGACCAATTCCTCTGCCGTTTCATGGTGATGCTTGCATTCGCCTGACTCATTTTAGATTTCAGATTGGTTGTGATCGTCTGCTACGTAATTATGTCTCTCTTTATAATCCTAATAAGACATCTAGTTATCTGAAACAAAATAAATTGAAGAAAGACAAGCGCAAGAGAAAATATGCACACTTCTTTTCCGATAGAAGCTTTGTTTATTTTCCAGTTGTACAAGTTCGCAGACGACAGTACCGAAGTTCGATCGAATGCCGTGCCGGCATCCGTGCCGGCAGCTTCTGTTGAGGTAACGGATCTTTGCTTCTGAGGGAAGTTTTTAGTTTGCATCTTGCCTTCGTTGAACCGTCGCTAAAGGGGGTCGTCGGTGTTGTGGATGCGCTGCAAATACAAAACACGACGAACTGTACTATAAACCAGACTCCGCGATTAGAGGCCGTTTTTCGGAGAGAGATTTGTTGCACTAACATGCGATTGGGGCTCGAAGTAGGTTTTAAAAGTGAAAAAAAGAAAAGAAAGCTGGACGTTGATTACAACGCAAGTTCTGCTGACATGAAATTTTGATAGCGGTACAATCTCATAACTTTCTCGTGAAACATCGCGGCACTTACCTAGGATATACGTTTCGAAGATCCCGCTGACTGTAGCATTCAATAAAACAAGTCCACTTGAGAGGGCGGTGCGTGATGTTATTCAAACTCGACGAAACCAGTCAGGCGTGGCCCTGCTCCCACAGCATGCTCGCCGTCAACTCCGACAGTAGACTTTGTGTTGAAATGTCCTTTCCGTGACACGAGGATGACGCTTCTTCGTAAAAATAAATGTTCCCAAGCGTGACGAGCGGCCGTAGCAGCCATATTGGACATATTGTCTGATGCTAGGTACTATTTTACTCCGGCGTCCCTACTCTGCAGGTCACGTGACCTAAAATTCCCCCCCGTAGGGAAATCCGGTTAACCGCGGTTAGTAAACCAGCTTCGAGCAAACGGGCCCAGATGTGTTCAATAAAAGTAGCATTTGCTAATATTGTGTTTTATGTGTATCTGATGCACTAGGTTGTATTTGTTTTGAATGCTTGCTACGTTTAGGCTATAAAAAATAGTCTAAATTTTATCAGCATTCAAAACCAGTTCAACTTAAATCCGACAAGCTTATTGAAAAAGAAGTGTTCGGTCTGAATAAAAGATTACAGAAATTACAGTAAAATAAATTGCTACTTGGGGTAGCGAAAATGGTGTTTCACAGTCGACTCTCAATATTTCAAACTCCAGGGCCCGTTTGCTCGAAGCGCTAACCGCGGCTGAAGTTAGCCGCAGTACCTAGGAGAGGGATTTTCAAATCACGTGACTGGCTCGGTAGGGATGCGGGGAAGCGTGGCGGTGCCCCGGTGAGTGAGCGCCGCACGCTTTGGAACTAATAGAGAGTTTTAGTAGACCGTTTTCACCTTCCGCTCCGCTCTGAGGGTGCCAAACTGCGCATGCGCGGCCCGCTTCGCCGGAATGGAAAGCGGAGGTCCGAAAACGCGTTTTAGTAGAGCGTTTTCCTTCAGCGTAAGAGCGTTTTGAGCGGGTTCGAAAAATTTGCTTGCGTAGCCCCACAAGTGGACGTTTTTAGTACTAGTAAGACAAAAAAAAAAGACCTAAGCGTTAACACCAAGAGAGTAAAAGGGAGCGTGATTGTAGAGGTAGTAAAAACGAAGGCGACAATAATAAACAAAAGAG